GAAGAAAAATTTGGATATAAGTTTAACATCACAGCAAATGTACAACGTTTCGACAAGGTTTTGTGATCATCAGGTACCTAATATGTGGTACATGATGATGACAAAACCTTGTCGAAACGTTGTACATTTGCTGTTATGTTAAACTTATATCAAAATTTTTCTTCATTACCCATTCAAGCCGTCTCCAACTATTATTAAATGTTATTATTGTTAAATATGTAAGTCTTAAGGTAACTGAAATTACATAATAGTAGCATATTTATAAAAAAAAAATCTAAAACCTGTAAATGATTAAAATCTTCAGTTTTATTTAATTCCTGGGATAAATCATTTTTTGCCACTCTTCACTTTGTTTACTATAAAGAATGAAATTCAGTGTAAATAGCAGGTCTTCTAACAGGCTCCTAGGAAAAGCAGAGTTAATTTACAGCTAGACTTTCAAATAATACAGAAACATTAGTCACTGTACTAGATGAACAATAACCGACTGTTTCTGGATTTGTTTCCATTTGCTGTTCTGTAGGATAATTTTTCTTTATTAGAAATAAACTTCATCTTAGCCAGTTCTTGTGATTATCTCCCTGTGCATGTTTCAAAAGTTGCTGTTTGCCACTATTATCATAAGCTACTGTCTTTTGACAATGGCTGACATCAGCATGAAAGTTCGTGACCTTTACTGTCTGCACTGGTGCTAGAATCAAACAACATGAAACTGAAGCTTATGCAAATGGTAACCATGACAAAAAGTGTAATTTAACAAAAGCTGGAGCATATACTTCAGCTTCAAAGCTCAAAATGTATTGAGTTGATAAAGATATACTTTTCACCTCATCTCTTACAAGAGTGCCTTACACAAAACTTTCAATATTACCTTAAAAAAGCTAGAAGAAAATAATACTCTAAACAGATCCAATTTATTCTTCATCTCTGTTGAATGAGTTCTCTAACAATGAGACACTGACATTTTATATGGGACAATAAACTTTACAACTTGAATAACGTTCTACCAATGATATCACTGTTGTCTCTAGTAATGTGCAAGCTCTAGAAGAATTTGATAAAGTTTTACAAAAAGTATCATCCACATACCTTAATCAGATGAGGTTTTGGTGTTATAGAGCCACTACAAAACAAGATTATTTCAATCCCTCTAAATCAGAATGCCTACATTCAGTTTATAATAAAAATTGAGAACAATGGCAAGCTTCCATCTCTTTAGGTTATTGCAAAGACTGAAACAATCATATTTACAGTGTAATATATATATATATATATAATCAAATTATACTAATAAATGTTTGGAATATAATTCATAGTATGCGTAATGTATGAAGACTTGGAAGTGCCTATTTACTACAAGAAAATGGACTTGTGATTCACATTCATCATAAAAATAAAACCAAAAGCCTTCTATAAAAGAAAACAAGTTTTAAGATGGTGTAAACCTACTTTGTGTCTATTTTTGTATTTTCTTACGGTAAACTAAGTTATTCTAATTTTCATAGAATTCTAATAAGCAAATGTCAAACATTTCGGTGTTCATAGATCAAAACACATGATTGTTTATCCCTACACCTTCACTTATAACTAGAATACAGCCTATGATTAAGAACATATAATAAAAGTTTCACATTAATCTAGTAAGCAATCACACCTGTGCTCTTAGGGTCAAAAATGACAAATTCTGGACGAAGCTTGCTGGTCCTTTTTCCTTTCAGAAGTGGCACTAAACCTCCCAGATATTCAAGAAACAAAGTATAAGTGGCACTACCAGTCAAAATGTCATCATCATGTCTCACCATTGTACAATGGAGACGAATATTGTTAGCTGGAGGCTGCGAAACAAAGTCTCGCAGTCGGTGAGGATCAGGAAGATAACACTATTCATGAAAAAAAAGAACCTAATCTTATTTATTGGGTTTAAAAAATGTATAGTACTTTCCTGATTATATGCAATAGAGAAATACATGTATTGTTCTCTATATCCTTGAAAACTTGAACTAGTACACTTTAAATTTAAGCAGAAATGTGTTTACAATGTAGACAATCACAATTTAGCGCCAACCTCAATTCATCTTAATAAATGTTAAGAGGTGTATATTTGTTCCAGATCATGATGGTTACTCTTATAAAGTAATAACTTGTAGCATCTACTTTACCTAAGTTTAATAAACATTGAGGGTTTACAAAATATACATAAAAATAAATGCAGATTATCCAAATTTACCATATTTGAAGTAAGTATATTTTATAGAAAGTCATCTGCACGTATCAATTTTGTTACATATGTTCAGAAACTGCAATCAAAACTGTATGTTAAAAGATTACACAAAACTTCAATAATATCTAAAATAAGTATGAAACTGTCAATAACTTAGAAACTACTTTAAGTTTTAATAATCTTTACCTTTATTGTTTGACTAAACAAGTGTGACACTAGCACTTTCAGACGTCGAGGTAGTGGAAGTTTCTGCATCTGACTCTCCTCTGTTAGAGAATTCTGGACAGTAAGGCAGGAGAGAAGTTGGAGAGAGGCTATTCTTTGAGTTACCCAACCTATATGTATCATATGTCCAGTGGCAATGAATATTCTTTTGTCATTATGGCCCCAGGTTACTGCTGAGACAGGACTCTATGATTGAGAGAAACAAAAATTAATTCAAATATTTATTATTTCATAAATAACAAACAATTTATACAGAAAAATTTTTTTTTCTTAAATGAAACAAAAACTGAGTTCTTATTAAATAAATAAAAATAGAGGAAAATATGACTTATAGAAAGAGATGTCCATAAATTCTAAAGTATATGTGCTGGTATCTGTCAGGAAGTTCATTAAATTTTGAAGATGTTTCTATTGCCATTTGAGGAAAATGTTTGCTAAATTCTTTGACAAATTGTTACCAATTACAAAGCTTGAATTACTCAAGCTAATATTTGTTAATCAAATCTAAATTCAAATGTGTTTTTTGAACAATTAATTAATAATGAGATGGATATTACAAATGACTTTAATGACATATAATAGATCTGAGCAATCAATCGAATTTGCTAACCAGCCGTCAGGCTCGTTAATCAATTACATTCAACTAATCATATATTCTGACATGATATTAATTTTAATACTTTCAGTTTGTTTTGTTTTTTTTGAGTAATTCAAACTACCCTTCATTTGATATGATCAACATTTTCTGGCAGTCACCATTTGTGCATTTTAGCCAAAAACTTTAGAATAAATTTTTAAAGATAATTTGAATATTTCTCTTACTTTCCAAATCACTAACCTCACAACAATCCTATGGTCATCATTTTGTTTTCAAAATATGCAATAATCCCTTATCCATTTTTTGAAAACCAAATAATAAAAACATGTTTTACTATCACTGATAAGAATAACAATGTACTTTATTTAAAACATATCATAATTGCAATTAGAAATAATTATGTAGCCAGTTAGTAAACTTATATATTCATGTTGGTTGAACATGATAAAATTAAAAATATTATTCAATAATTCAGGATTTGAGTCATCAGAATATTTTGCAACTGCCTCCTGAAGCTTCTCTGATTTGATGAATATAAAAACTCTCACATGTTTACAATCACTACAACTCAAAAACTATAGTATATCTGTTAGAAACACTATAATTTTAAACAAAGAACCAAATATCAACAAATATAAAATCAAAGAGGCCATCTTAATTGAACATCACAGCCTTACTCTAAAACCAGCACTTTAGGTGCCAAAATACCTTTATCATGCTGTTAAGCAATTTCTTGGCACATGAATTTGTTTCATACTGCATACATATTTCAGTGTCAAGGTACACTAAACTACTTGTCCCTGATGGTGATAAAACCTTGTCAAAGTGTACATCTGTTATTATGTTAAACTTGCAATACAGTTTTCTTCATTAGCTATTCAAGCTGTCTCTAAGCTTTATAAGCTTATCCAATGTTTTCTTATGGTAAATTTTTTTTAGCTTTCAAACAGATATACTTTAACACACAAGCACTTTCACATACATATGGAAAACACCCAGCTCTGTAACTTGTTTCCAATTATTTTACATTTCCCACTGAATGCCACTGATCAATGCTACAAGAACTCCAACTAAAAACTTTCTCCAGAAACTATAAACCACTTATATATTTTATTCTGACAAGATGACTAAGTCTTGTTCTATCCAATCATATTTAAACTTTCTTTATAACTGTTTCTAACACAGTGTTTCATTAGTATATGCTCAAACCACTTGACATGATATTATAAAGGGATGTACACCAAATGAATGTAAGAAAATGTCAATTTTAAAATATTTTAAAGTTAAAATTATTAAATTACAGTTAGAACTAACATATAAAAAATTGTGGCTCAAAAAATGCAAAAAAAGATCAATTTAGTAAAAGTGATAGTGAAAAAACATGAAAAGCCATAGGAAACCCTGTCTTCATGTATGGTAATTTAGGAGTAAGTTATTTTTACAATTATAAACTGTTGTACACAAAAATTTATCATATATGCAATGCAGTATTAAACCTGCAAATATGATTAATAGCATTCTGTAGGTTTCTCCCTACAAACATCTACAACACTAGTCTCCTAAAAGAACCAAATTTTTGTTGATAAAAATAAACATTATGTGTCGACATTGATTATAAATCAGAAAAATAAGAAATACAACACAGACTAGTGAGATTACTAATTAACACAAATTACATATGCTTAGGTCTTGGGATCGTGCTTAAGATTTTACATTAACAATGTGGTCAGTGAGTAAGTGGCAAAAAGAATGAACACAACTTCAGTCAGGAAATCAAGAATGTGGATACTTTAGGTACATCTCCATTTAACAGCACATGTCACTTCATTTTTAGAAGTAGAGAAGAATAAGATTATCATGGTACATGTATAAAATTAGTCATTATTTTGTATACAACAATATCCTAGTGTGAAGTGAGCCAATGATTGTTTCTCTAAATCAGCAAAATACTGATTCCACACATCTCTTTCCTGATTACATGTTTGTCATTGAACATTAAACCAAAAAATATTGTGTGTGTGCGGTAACGATGTCAGGAACAATTTTATAATTCAATTTTTTTTATTAAACATTATTATATTGCACTGTAATGTATCATTATCAAATAAGAGAATACTTTCATGCATCCTATTAAGTCATAAATTAAGTTATTTTCAGTTTTCTTAGTTTTATTCTTTTAGTACATATGCACTGATTTTTTCCCTTCTTTCCACAAGGCCTAAGGGTTATAGGCTGAATTCTTTGTTTCAAATACTCAGTTGTCCAACCAGACTTCCAATTAACAATACACTGAGGCATTAGTATAGCTGATTTATATGTACCTTGTCAAATTCGCTTTATAAAAACCTTTAACAGTTATTTATAAAATTATTGTTCATGAATGTACAATATACATTAGATATGCATTTTTAACATAAACTACCAAAATTCATATCAACTGGATTAATAATATAAAAGATATACTGAATGTATTCATTTTTATATTTCAAATTAATATGTACATATTGTTGAACTTCTAAAAACTCTTTCAGCTTTAGTGAAAGAAAAATTATTGATTTCAGGTATTGTGACCTGCACAACACCATGTGCATGTTAAAACTTTGTGTTTTAAGCAATATAACAATTACGTTTTAATAGAGTGCATGCTGTAAAAACAAGGTTTCAAATTATATCTTAATAAAATAAAAAGAAAGGAAACATAAATACACTGAGAAACAACATACAATAACTTATTCAGTAAAGCTTATTAACAAAAGTTAGTATGATAATGGCAGAATAAAAACACAACAATCTTTTAACATATTTTAATATCAATTTATTACATAATATATATATATATATATATATGCAACATTAAATATATTGAGCAAAGATATATGGAATTGGCAAAAGTAAAATCAACATATGAAACAAAAGCTTGGAATGTTAACATTTTCCTTACAGGAAAATGTATTTCTGATAGATACTTACCTCTGTGTACACGACAACTATTCTTTGCACATCTGCCTTTGAGATTTTGTGCATGCCACTAGCTTTGAGTAATCTCCTGCCTAAGACATATTTTAATGCCAACTGCACTAGTGTGTGATGTAATCATTCTGCAACAATAACCCTCCACCAATAGAAGGGTGACACATTCTCTGGGTGCAGTAGATTCCCATAAGCATTTCCACTCAAAATTAACTTCATTTTTAGATGAGACAAGAATAATGTGTACTGATAGTGGGAAGGAAGGTTGGGAAGGCATGGAGAAAAATAAGTATCTATCAGAAATACATTTTTAGGTAAGGAAAATGTTAACTTCCAAAACAATATCTTTACCTCTCTGCACACAACAATGCTAGAATCCCACAATGATGTGGTGAAGGGTCCAGTGCTATTGTGTAAACCTAGATGAGCTCCCTTCAGAGAAGGTGACTGGAGTGTGACACCCTATAGTAGGGGATTACTAGCAGGGCAATACTCATGACAAACTGCATCCATCGCATGTTAGGTATAATTTTTACCTGGATGAAAGTATAAAATGAAGAAGGCCAACCCAATGTGTCACAAGGATGGGTGGAAAAGTGCATAACCAACTGAGCATTTGCACAGACCCAGTCAGCTGAATGAGGTGTAGGGTGGCTAGGCCAATTACCAGACCAGACAGTTTGTTATGTGTTGTAACATTTATTCACCATACATTACAAGAATGAGGCTGAAGGTCCATTTCTGTCGTAGGGGAGAATATTTTGCCTCATCTGGTTGGCCAAACCACTGGCAAATTGGCATATTATATAAGAAGGAATGATCTGCACTACAGTGACATGAACACCTCTGCCCTACTTTCCATCATATTGGGCTGCCCACTTTAACTTTCTTTGGAATGAATCCACAGCTGGTAAGGAACTCTCCAAGTTAACTACCCTATCGACTAGGGATTGGTAAGTGGTAAGGGTCTCCCATTCTCCACTCAACAACCAGGGAGAAATAAATTCACATTGAGGAAACACTAGAGAGATATTCAAACTTGATCATACCTAACTTCCAGAAAGGTCTTTTACTGTTGGAAGTTCAAGAGGTTACAGCACAACCTAATTTGAAAAGCCAGCTTGCACGAGTCAGGAAAGTGGGTAGATACTTCCCTGGTGCTAGCTTTTTCCATGCTAGTCCATGAAAGGTATGGTCTGGAATGAACAATGAAATATATATTACCTAGGGTTTCTGTGGAAAACTCCATTTTAACAATGGGCACTTTAGAAACCAGGGTGGATGGGTTTAATGCTTTCCGTTACCTCTGATTCAATGCAGGTTTAGGGAAGTAAGTATACCCTGTGAGATAACATCTGACATTGGGTTGGTTCTGAAAAATGAATCGTATAAGAGTAGAATTTGGTAAGGAAGTAAAAGATGTACTTAGTCATCAAACAGTGAGTAGACTGGAGAATAGTGACCCTGAGATGAAACTGCCAGATTGTTGAAGTAATGAGAGTAAAGATGTTGGTCATAGTCAAAATTATAACCTGGAGAAGCTCATCCTAGGGTTACTAAAAGTGCGAGGCCAGAGAGCAAGTTGAGTGGTGAATGTGATAAGACATGATATAGCCTA